GCTGCCCCGGGCCACCTGAGCTTGGTGGACAGCCCTCACTGTCTGGAAGTTTTGAATGGGTGGGTTCAGACCCCAAAGTGTGCCCGTCCTGTGGGCGCAGACAAGGCCTCGCACTGCTGCACCGTGTTCCGTCTCGAGCAGCAGCCAGTCTTACCCTTGCTGTTTCCCCAAAGGTGGTGCGGATAGGAAGTGCCTGGGGACGTAGTGATTCAGTTTGCTGGGGGGTCTCTTCACACTGCTCTGATTGGTTGAATGCAGGGAGAGGAGAGGTAGATGAATTCACCAAAAGGCCCCCCAAAGCTGCAGCCTTGTGAGTGGCTACCCCCACCCTCGGTCAGACTTCCCCTGGGGTGGCTGAAGGCCCTCAACTTGGGCTTCAAGAGGAAGAGCCAGGGAGGGTCTGGATTGCAGGGCCGAGGGCCCAGAGCTGCCCCCCAAAGCCGCCTGCACGCCCACGCCGGCCCACCGGGGAGTGCCCAGCAGGTCTGTTTACATTCAGTGGATGGCACAGCCACCCCGCCACCCCCCTTGAATAACTGAATTTCCTTCACACCCTGAACAGACAGACCTGCGTGCTCTACCCACTCGTCACTCACAGCCCTCTGCGTTTCCTGTCTCTACCCCAGGCAAAGGAAAACCCCAAACTTACTGTTATTGTTTACCAACCCAACTGCCTCCTTGCCCAAGCCTGAGACGGGCCCTCAGTGTGAGGGCGAGAACACAGACCCAGCCTGGACCACTGGCCCCACTCCACCGGAGGCTCCCTCCGTCGTCTGTGCAGGGCCGCCCACCGAGGGTGGGACTCTGATAGTGACAAAGGCCACCTGACCCCTAGTGCCTCACAAAGAATTTAAATCATCTCCCTGAATTCCTCATGGTAGCCAGAGCATAGGAGCGTCACCCCCATGTCACTGAAAAGGAAGACTCGACTTAGCGGAAAGGAATCCAGTCTGTCTCTGCCCTTCCCTCACCCCCTTCCTTAACAAGCGGACTTCAGTTGCTTTTTTGTTTTTATCCTCACCAGAGGACATTTTTCGATATTTTGTTCAGATAGAGAGGGAGAGAGAGAAAAACATCGATGTGAAAGGGACACACCGAGTGGTTGCCACCTACGACCCAACCAGGGCCAGGGATAAACCACAACCGAGGTACGTGCCCTTAGCGGGAACCGAACCCGGGTCTCTCCGGACTGCAGGCCGATGCGCCAACCACTGAGCCAACCTGGCCAGGGCGACTTCAGTTGCTTTTAAGGAGCTGTAGACTTGGAAGCAGATCCAAGTCAGATTCGCCTCCGCTTAGCTGTGAGGCCTTGGGACAGTCACGTTCTTCTCTGAGCCTGTTCCCTCACAGGCCAGCTGGAGGCTGACCGACTACCTCAGGGCTTGCATGGCTGAAGAGATCAGGATATTGAACTGGTGCTCAGTAGGTGCTTACAAGTGTCCTGAGGCCCTGTTTTTTTACATATATATTTTTATTAATTCTTCAGAGAGAGAGGAAGGGAGATAGAAACATTGATGTGAGAAACATTGATTAACTGCCCCTGCACACACCCCCACTGGGGATTGAGCCCACTACCCGGGCACATGCCCTGACCGGGAATCGAACCAGGACCTCCCGGTCCATGGCACAACAGCCAATCCACTGAGCCACCGGCCGGGCCTGAAGCCCTCTTTACATCTCACACACTTAAGGGTGCTCCAGGATGGCGTCCTGTAGCCGCTGCAGCCACGCAGGCCAGCGTGTTTTCAGACACAAAGGCCCGTGGTCATCCCATCTGGGAGTTTAGCAGAAAGAGGTTGAGTTCCCCCTGGAGACAGGGAGGGCATCACAGCGCCAGGCCAGCATGCCAAGTCAGGGCGCGGGGACAGCGGAAAGGTATGGCAAGACCCCAACTCCAGGCCCATTGTCACTGGCCACAGAAGTGTCCTGAGCTGGGCTCACCAGAGGAGGGAACAAAACTCAGTCAGTGTGTGGGGTACGAGTACGAGAAGGCTGAGGCAGGCCTGTGGCAGAGCAGTGAGTCTCAGATGCCCACCCCCTAGTCCCTGGACCTGTGAACATCACCTTAGAGGCAACGGGGCTCTGCAGATGCGGTCAAGGTTAAGAACCTCCTGGGTCCTCAGGAGTGGAGGCCCCTTCCTGGTTAGGTCGGGGAGACGTGCTGACAGGAGGGTCGGGGAGACGTGCTGACGCCGGCTTCGAGGCCGGAGGAAGAGGCCCGGAAGCCAGGGCTGAGGCAGCCTCTGGGAGCTGGGAAGGGCAAGGCCTTCGGAGGAGCGGCCCTGCTGAGGCCTGGACCTTGCCCAGTCACACCTCCCAGATCGCTGGCCTGCAGACTGCGAGCTGCTAACTGTGGCTTTAAGTCATGAAGTGTATCCTGACAGCAACAGAAAACGAACGCGGCCTCCCCGGACAGCAAAGCGCTGACGTGCCCTTCTCCCTTCTCCCCCGAGTCCTTTCCACCACCTCTTCTCCCTGCCCCAGGTTCAACCACTGCTGACATCTGAGCTCAGACAACGTAACGATTTCTCTGAAAGCAAAACCGTATGCGGGTTCATCTGAGCAGTGGTTTCTAGAGTGATGAGTAGTTCCAAGACAGGACCCAACCACAGCTATCCTTTTAGAAGTTATGCAGGGACCAACCTGCTGTGCCGAGGGGCCTGAATGGAGGAGACGGGAGCTGCAGATGACTGGGGGCACAAGGAGGCCACGCCTCCAGGCAGGAGACATGGTCTGAGGACGGAAATTCCCCAGGCCTTGGGATCCCGGGTCTAGGCAAAACCTTAGCTGCGTGCCCTCCAGCACACTCCTTCACCCTCTCCAGCAGTCTCCTCACTCGTAAACCAGGGATCACCACCCTGCCTCAGCGTTCTCCCCAGACAGCTCTGAGGATGGTGGGAGAAAACGTGAAAGTATTTAGGATGCACTATTTTACTGTCTGCCTGGGAGGGAAAGCAGGAGGGGTCAGTAGACCAATTTCTACCTTTGGCCTACTGCAAACCAAGTCGTCACGTGATCGCAAACATCCCATTCTGGACCTCAGTCTTTTTATCTGCGAATGGAGGGGAATGGGTCACATGAACACTGAGGCCTCTTCCAGCTCAGATGTATTTTATTTCTGGCCCTTACTGCCCCCTCGTGGAGCTTTATGAAACTACACCAACCTGCTTCTCTGTCTCTCCCAGGATTTGAACCAAATTACCATTCACCCTCTAAACCCCATGCCAGTCGGCCATCCAGGCTGAGGGTGCCAGTGTCTGGCTATGGCTAAACAGATGAAAGAATTATGTGCCAAGAAGCAACTTGACTCCTGATTCAGTATGTGGCAAAAGGGCATGGGCTCTCCAGCACAGATTGGCACCCCCCCCCGCTCCAAGGAGAGCAGCATTAATGGTCCTGTGCCAGACGCACCTGGCCAGGCCCTCGACAGGGGAGGCACGGGCTTCCGCTCACCCAGGAGGCCCTCCTCTCCTCTCATCCCCTTCCCTCTCCTTCCCTCCAGTCCCCCAGGTCCCCTCCCTTCCCCTCCCGTCCTACTCTCCCCTTCTGCCCCCTCTCCTCCCCTCCTGTCCCCTCTAGTCCAGTCATCATCCCTCCCTTCCTATTCCTTTCCCTCCCCTTCCCTCCCCTCCCCTCCCCTCCTCTTCCTTCCCAGGACACCCAGCCTCTGCCCTCCCCACACACAGAACCACTCTCCACATGAGTGAGAGAGGTGGGATCAGGGGGCTAAGCCCCAAGAAAGAAGAGAAAGAAAACCTTTCAACTATTAAATCTGTTTAGTAAAGACAGTTTCGCTCATACAAAACAACAGCTTACAACCACCTAAGTGCTGGTCACACCATCAGACACGGGGGCGCTGCAGGCACTCAGAGCCTCCCCAAGACGAGAAGACCCTGAGTGCCCTCCACCAGCCTGCCCTGAGGGAGATGAAAACTGAAGTATCGCTGCCACCCCCCAAAGGGACCACGGCACTGAGGACCTCCGCCCGGGCCGCTCCTCGGTCACTGGGGGATGGCCCTCCCCACCTCCCCTCACTGCTGACACATGAAGCCACGTTGTCTGGGATGGGTGGAGTGGCTAAGGGGGAAGAGGCAGGGTTGGAACATCTTTGGTGTAAAGACCCCCACCCACTAGGCCACACTATGGAAATGCGTGGGAGAACACGGGTGGTGTTGCCTTTGCCCATACAGGAGTGGCTGGCCAACACCCCCAGAGCCCAGGGCAAAATGCAGAAGTTTTGCATCACTTATAAAGTGCCCAGGTTCACCCACGTGAGTTGAGAGAAGGCCTGTGGAGAAAGGGCTAAAATGTAAGAAAAATACACAAGAATGAGTTAACAACGGCGGGCAGGGGGACCAGAGGTTGCGCAGTAGATCGGCGCCTCAGAGGGACCAGCGCTGAGTGGGGAGCAGGGGTGCTAGGGGTGGGCGGTCCAGTCTTCCTGACTTCGTGCCAGTGCCTAAGTCGCCCCTCGCCACCGCCAGGCCCAGCCTACAGAGACTGGCCATGCAGGGCCGGCTCAGTCTGGACAGGCTTCCAGGCACTATGTCAGGCCCGACACAGGCGGGGCTGGGCAGGCCCAAGGGGGAGAGAGTTCCTGAGCCACAGCAGGGCCCTCCCTATGCAGCCCTGCCTGCCCCTGGCCCCACAAAGGTGCAGTCCCAGGCACACGTGCACGGCGTGCATGCGCGCGCACACACACACACACACACACACACACACACGATCACGCACTCCTATCCGTCTGGCACACTGGTGATGTCTGAGGGATCCAGTAGAGGAGGTGGGCAGCATCCGGCCCCAGCCCTCCATGGCCGTGGGCTCCAGAAGGCCTCAGCCAGCAGGGAGCTCAGGCTGTAGTGGGGACATGGGACAGAGGGGACAACACCGGGACACTCCCTATAACAGTTTCCACAAATACTCTTTAACAAGAGGAAGAAGTTTGGGGGAGAGGAGGAGTGGGGAAAGAACAATAAAAGAAGTTTCATAAAAATTCTAAGTCAAATTACTGATAAAACTGCAAAATGAGCACAGGTTCAAGAGCATCTTGCTCCCTTCCCTCCATGCCCTCCAGCCCTCCCAGCCTCTCCCTGGCTGGGGCGGCCAGAACCAAAGGCAGAATTCGGCCTCTCTCGAGGCTCCAGGCTCCGTGCAGCCGAGGAGCAGGGGAGGCAGCAGTGGACAGTTCTGTGTCTCCTCATTTAAAAAAAATATTCAGGTGGAGAGTTATTGCTTGTCCTCCAGTGGAGAAGGACGGGCTGTGGGGGTCAGTGAGCCAGGGCTGCAGCCTCCAGGGCCCGGGCTTTCTTCCGCCTCTTCAGAAGCAGAGGGTTGGAGGCATCTTCAATCTTTTTTATCTTGATCTGCTCGTAGTCGACACGCATTGTGGCCAAGGCACTGGTCATCTCCTCCTGGCAGGAAGATGTAAGGGACAGAAGTGAGGCAGGATGCAGGCGACCAGAGCAGAGGGAGAAGGGACAGGCTGGTTAGTGGGTCCAGGACCCATAGCAGCCTCAGGTCTGCGCTGGGTCGACCGAGACGGCCACCGCTGCCGCCGCTCTCCACGAGCCCACCAATGACCCCACGGGAAGGCAGAGAGAGCACCGGCCGAGGAGTCAGACCTGGGATCTCAGCCAGACATTAGCTGTTGACCTTGAACAGGCCATTCCCCTCTCTGGGCCTCAGTTTCCTCATCTGCAAAATGAGGAAGACAGCACCAGATGACTTCTCAGGTCCTTTTAGAGACCCGGGGAATGGACAGCTTATAGGGAAGAGCCAGGCCGAGCTTAGCCTGGAACACAGACTCCTCTGCCCGAGCCTGGTCAGGGAAGTGACTCAGAGCCGCTGCTCTGTGGTAGCAAAAACCCTTTGGGGTGAGAGAATGCAGAGCCAAGTCCTCCCCATCCAGCACCTCCAGACACCTCCGGGAGGTGCCTCCCCAATCCCCTCTCGGCCAGGGGTTCCCTCACCTTGACATCCTCCCACCGCTCCTTGTCCTCCTTCAGGACCCGGCTGGTGTGCAGTGGGGTTTGAGGGACCTTTGTTGATTGCTGAGGGGAGAGAAAAGGGGTCCAAGTGAAAGCCTGGACAGGGCAGAGTCCTGGCTAAGCCCTCATCCCAAGGGACAGTCCCCAAGGACCCAGGTCTCTCTGCCTGCCAGACTTACCATGATCCAGGGGTGGTTCATAAACTCCGTGATGGTCATCCTCTGGGTGGGCTCTGTTTTCAGCAGGTTCCGGATGAGCATCTTCACTGTGGGGTGACACAGGGAACAGAGACACTCAGAAGCCACGCTCCCTCTCCTGCTCCTCCCATCTTCAGGGAGAATCTAGGGGGTGTCACAGGGGAGGCAGACTACCCAGGGATCTGCCCTGAGGACCATCACGGCTATCCCACCTGACAGGCCCTACAAGGCCCCGCGCCAGGCCCTTCACACAGACAGGGCATACCTGGTTGGTGTGAACCTGCCCAGTTACACACCTGCATGAGACGGACGCCCACACACAGAGGTATGCATGCACACATGTACACACACAGGCTCTTTACCTTCCTCTGACACTTCTGACCACTCTGGGTTGGGAAATTCATACTGGCCCATTCGGATACGAGTCTTCATGCCCGGAGAGATGGCAAGGCCGTGGTTGGAATAGAAGGGCGGATACCCACAGAGCCTGAGCCAAGGGGACGCAGGAAGAGAGGGGCAGAGCTGGTGTTATTTAGGGGCCCTGTACCAGGAACAAGGTGAGAAACAGACTTCTCACAGAGGCTACAGAGAAGCTGGGACTCGCTGATTCAGGCACAGTACAGAAAGTCGAGGACAGGGCCAGGATTCCTATATGCCAAGTGCCTAAACCACACATTCCCTGCCCGTTAGCTAGTTTACACCCATTGCTTAGCCATCAGGATACTGAGCATCAAGAGAAGGGGACACGCAGGAGATTCACAGGGAACCCTCCATCCAGAAGGGAAATCCCAACCTTTGCCTCTTCCTCTCAGCTGAAGAGGTGCACACCTCCTCCCACCTCTGCCCCCGTCCAGCCCGCCCTGCCCTGTCCCGCCCCAGCACACTCACAGGATATACATGATGACACCCAAGGACCACATGTCACAGGACTTGTCATACTTCTCTGGGCCCAGCACTTCTGGAGCTGCAAACCAAAGGTCAATCAGTGTAGGGGGCCTGGCCCTCGGACACGGTGACCTACCCCAGTTTCTCTGTGGATGATGCTCCCGTCATGATGGGACTGTAGCTGGCGGGGAGGGGAACAGCCATAACCCAGGCCCGGGGTTGGATGGAGAAGAGCAAAGACCCTCCTCTAAGGGGAACCTAAGGCTAGAATCTTAAGGTAACATAATTCTTGGCAAGAGCCTTTCGGATTCAGGATGTCCATTTAATTTGACAGAAACGTTTGCGGGTTTATCCTGTGCCAGTCATCTGGGGCACCAGGACCAAATCTGCACACGACTCCACTGGGCACCTGGTGGAAGTGGCGGCTCTCCGTGGAGAAGTGCATGTGACCTCAGGCAGATGACGCCCTGTGACACCTTAGTCCCCCCTCACTCTGATGGACCCTACTTCAGGTCAGGTCACACCAGAACCAGTGGCAGAAAAGGCTGGAGAACATGCCTCTCCTAGGACCTGTGGCTCCAAGACTGGAACAGGAAGGTTTGAGAAGCTCTGGGGAAAGATGAGCCCTGGCCTCCTCGGGACTTACCCACATAGTATGGCGTATAACAAGGAGTGGTCAATGAGTTGTGGCTGGTGGTTTCCTTGGCAAAGCCAAAATCGGTGAGTTTCAGAATGGCATTGGGCCTTTTGGAGGTGTATAAGAGATTCTCAGGCTACAGAGAGAGACAGAGAAAGAACAAGCCTGCTGTGAGGGGCCATTGGAAATCAAAAGGGTAAAGATGACTTCCTTCCTTCCTCCATCAGTAGCCATTTGTCCAGCCCCTGTGGTCTGCGGGCCATCAGCTATGTATGACCAGCTCCCTGCCTTCCGAGAGCTTGGAGATGAGGACTAATAAAGAGAACCAGCAATAAATACCACGGGGCGGAGAAACCACAGGTGTGGCTGTGCAATGTGACTGAGAGGACCAACAGGGCCGAGCATGACCACAGAGGCTTCCCGCTGGGTGGGGGGTTTGCCCAGAGGGAGCAGGCCCTGCAGAGCAGAAAATGGTACCCTGCCTTAAGCTGCTGTCAGGACCAGGCAGCAAGGAGGCAGGACGGGGCCCTCTGCAGCGCCTGAGCTGGGGGAGGGGCATGATGAACAGGTGGTACCTTGACATCCCGATGAGCAATGTTGATTGAGTGCAAATACTGAATGGCCTCACCAATGCTCTTCATGATTTCTGAAGCTTCTGTAAAGGACAGGGAAAGAAAGTCAAGGTGTGTCATTAGGTTTGGAAACTCGATACTCCAGGCCCCCCACACCCCTTGCCCCAATGCAGCCTGAGGTTCCCTATATCCACCACCCACCCCAGAAACCAACACACAAGGAGCCGCCCTGGCTCAGCTGAGGACAGCAGCCCTGGCAGCGAGCGGGGGCACAGAGGCCTCAGCCTGTCTCAGAAGGCAGCACGCAGAAGGTCCCCTCAGAAACCCCACCCCCCACTGACCAAGGCCTATTCAACAGACCCTTTCTACCTCTTTCTGTGAACGCCTGGTCTCCCCGGTCCTGGATTCGGCTAAAGAGTTCGCCACCATCCAAGCTGAAACAAAGCCACAGTTAGATCTTGGGAACACAACACCCCACCCCCACTTTCCATCATCCACCCACCGAGAAATCAAGCATTCCCATGTTAAGCTTCAGGGCACAGGTGGGCAGGCCTCAGGAAGTGAGGGGCCTGGGCAGGGAGTGGTGGGCGGTGCCAGGACCAGGGCTGCTTACCACTCCATGACGATCAGCAGGCACTTCCGCCCCGCATACAGGTTCTCATAGACGTCCACAATCCGCACGATGTGTGGGCACTGGGAGGCCCGCCAGTGCAGCTCCACCTCGCGCCGGGCCTTCGGGCAGTCCTGCAGCATCTACAAGCCAAGCAGCCTCCTGAACACATGCCCTGCCTCTGGAGGGGGACAGCGGGCTGCTGCCCCACAGGGACCTAATTGCAAGGCCCTGGCCCATGTGCCCGCTGACCATAAATGCACCATAAATCCCCACTACCAAGCCAGCCCCCTTGGTATTTTCCCTGGCAGAGACTTCTCCCAAATCCTGACTTGGAGGTTTAGCTCTCGCATCTGCTCTAAAAGAAACCTCAATATGAGCCCGTGGGGCCTTGATAGGCTACCCAGCTAAGGGCCTAAAGTCTATTCCAGACGGCAGGCAGCAGTTAGGCACTGGAAGACCGGGTAACGGGGCATGGGGAGAAGGGCACACTGAGGGGAACCAGTCCAATAATGGAGACGGGTCTAGGGAGAGAGCAGACTCACAATTTATAACAAAAGGTATCTCCACGATCCCTCAAACCCAGCACACCAAATCCTGAGCAATGTTCTTTCTTCCTCTGTGGTTTACTTCATTCAACCAATATGGCCTCAGAGTCAGCCCGATTTGTTCAAATCCTGGTTCTTATGAGGTCTGCAACCTCGAGCAAGTTATTAACTCACCAAGCCTCTTCACGTCCCCATTTCTTTCATGGACAGGGGGCCTGGAGCCTTAAAGGAGCTTGGAAACCTCACGATCTCAGGCATCTTGACTAGTCCAAGCCAATGTCATTAAGTCCAACCTCTTTACTAGTGCCTGGCTTGGGAATAAGCCCAAGAACCAACGTTGGCCAAGAAGAACTTTGTAGGAAATCTGCTGAGAGGCCTCTTAAAGGGAGCAGGAGGATAGTACATCGCCTTTCCTGCATATGCACCTGGGACCGTGCCAGTCACCCTGGTGCCGTAGGGGGAACCAGCCGAAGCGGATGAACCCAGTACACTGAGGAAGGCAACCAGGAGAGGTGGCAACTACCCGGGCCCTTGCTGATATCACCACACATTCCTCCTACTTCTTTTTGGTAAGAGCCAAAAAGCATCCTGATACATCCCTCTGAAAAAGGGGATACACTTTTTGTAAGAATTAAATGAAAGAATTCTGCAAAATGCCTAGCAGAGTCCTGGCATGCGCTCAGCAACAGTAGCTGTTCCTCTCATTACAGAATGTCTGCTAAGCGCACAGCGCAGTGGCCTAAACAATTAAGATAAGGACCTTCGCAGACTTACCAACTCCGTGGGGAGTCAAGATTAGTGCCATACAGTGTACACCCCAGCTGGGAGGGGGCAGTCGGGTTGAGAAGGAAATGGGCAGGAGGGAAGGCTGCAGGCAGGGAAAAGCAGCGGGATCGGGGCTCAGAGGGAGCGGAGTGGGGTGGGTGGGTGAGCTAGGGGTCCTGCTGGAAAGTGTGTGAAGTGTGGTCAGTGAGATCAGATGGCCCAGACGGAGCCAGATTACAGAGGGCAATGAAAGGCAAACACGGGGATTTCCAACACTAGCACTCATTTATGCTTTGGTCCATGGTATGCTCGACCTTTTCCAATTTTACAGTAATTGGCATTTTCCAGGATCAGGAAACTGAGGCTCCGAGAAATAGTGTGTCCCAGGTTCAGATCGGAGAAAAGGCAGAGCCAGGGTTGGAATCCAGGACCGATGGGTTGCAAAGTCCAAGCCTTTTGCAAGACACACCACACAGCTTTTCGAGAAGAAACAGAGGCCGAGACTCCTCAGTCTCAGACCCACAACTGCAGACTGACTTTGCAGAGGCAGTCCCCAAACGGGTGCCCAGTTACTTCAGTCTTGAGCAGGCAACAGGCAAGGCCCCCGTGGGGTCACACTGCTACCTAGTGGTCATATGAGGATGCTGCACAGGTCCTGGGTTCTGCCACCCTCAACTTCATTCATTTGGATGGACCAGGAAAAAAGTTTCTTTTCCTCTCCCAAGCTCTGAGGAGTAGGAAGGGGCACTGACTGATTTTACATGTATGTAATTTAATTCCACAAACATTTACTGAGCTCCTACTACGGGCCGCACACTGTGCTGGATGTCAAGACCAAATAGAGGAGTCCTGATCTGAAAGAACTCAGGCTGCGTGTGGGGAGCGCTCTAGGATGTCAGACACAGAAAACACTTATAACCCACTGACAGAATGTGCTGTGAGACTGTAAGTTCAAAGGATTCAGGCGCAATAGTTCTCAGAGCAGCCAAACAGGAAAGACCTCTATCGCCCCCTAGACACATACAGGAACGGAGGCCCAGAGACGAAACAAAGTTGTCAAATTTACTCAAACAGAGGCAATATGACGTTGGATCGATTTCTGGTTATATAACCTTGGGGAGGTCATTACCTTCCTGTCTGCTTTGCATCTATAAGTTAGAGGGGTTAATACCTACCTGGCCCCCTCCCTCCTACAGCCATTGCAAGCAGCTAATGAAATCATACCTCTAAGAGTGCTTAGTTAGCAGCTGGGCACTCATCACTGAACCAGCAGCACAGCTGGCACAGCACAGGGGCCCCTCCATCACATCTGTGTGGAGGCTGGAGCACGTGACAAAGCCAGCACAAGTCATCAGCAAGACTGCAGTCTGGGTTTTTGTCTGGAGCCTGGTGACACCACCTGGGAACCAGCTCCAAGCTCTAACCAACCAGATCTGTGCTAAGTGAAGAAGCACCAAGACCCAAACCCAAGCGCGCGCCCCTCCGCCCCTCCTGGAATCTGGACACTAAAAGCCCTGTCCTTTCTGCTTTAGACACGTTAGCGTATGTGGCATCAGGCAACAGAGAGCTGCAGTCAGAAAGCTGGGGTGCACACTCCACCTCCAGGCTCGCACACAGTTCACCTGATGGAGGAGCCGGAAGGACCGAGCACAGCAAACCTGGCCTTGGGAAGCACACACAACTCGCATCTCCGTTCTGCATTTCCAGGTTCATGTCAGGGAAGCAATCAACATTTCTGAAAAGGGTTTCTTTATCTGTAAAACTGATCCCATTTAACAAAATAAGAACATTGGAAAGAGCAGTGTTTTTCAATTCTAAGAGAAATATAATAAAAATGTCCCGTGAAGACTGGTTAACTGACATCCAAGCACATGTTTCTCAGAAGTCCCTGATGGGTATGAAAACCAACGCAAGCAATGAAAGCAAGACCTTCCAATCAGTCAGGAGGGCAGGCCGGCTGACGTCAGGGCAGGGCCAGGAGGCTGTGCAGACAGCTGTGACATGCAGGGAGCCTGGAGAGAGGAAATCAAGAATGTGCTAATCTGGAGTACAGGGCTAAGTAAAGAACAGCAGGGGAGGTGCCTGCGTGCCACAGAGGAGAGACCAGGAGAGAAAACAGGATTCCTGAGGTGTTAACAGGGGCCACCAGCACAGATGAGGTGGCAGGTTCCACCAGAAGCCTGAGTCACCTACAAAAGGTTCCACCTCTCTGGCATGAAAAAGGACAGAGAAGGCCCAGGGGCCCAGTACTACAGCCCTGAGGGCCTGAATCTGAATGGAGAAAGTGGTTTCTAACTAAAAAGCCACACGGGCTCTTAGGCAAGGAATGCCTGGAGGGGATTGTGAAATATTTTAAGTCCATGCTAAGCCTGGAACGGATCCTGTGACTTCCCTCCTCCCTCCAAATTTGAGTTGAAATTCTCTTGCACTGTAGAAAAGACTGCAGCCTGCCAGGCAGCAATGCATGGGCGAGCCCACCTACCGGTGTGGCAGGGGCCAGGGACCAGGCCAGAGTCCGTTGTCCAGGGGCGGCCTCTAGGGTGAGAGTGGCAATAACAGAGTCACGGGAGCGCTCCCGCAATACTGTTCAGCGCCTTTCTCTTTGCAGAAACCTGGAGGGAGGCGGGGTGGTCTCACTTATCTTCCCCACCAATCTTCCATCATGAGCTCACAAGACTGGGGAGTAGTCAGCATCCCAAGCCGAGTGAAGCCAGAGAAAAGAGAAGAAATAGAGCTCAGGCCTGAGGTCCTGCTCACCAGCCCAGCAGACATGAGGACAGAAAGGAAGAAAGCCAGGCTCCAGGGAGCATCCCTTCACAAGCTCCACCACCACTCACCAAGAAGTGTTTAATCCCTTTGTGCTTGTTTCCTTCCTGTCAAATAGGAGAATAATAGTACCCTATCCGTTTAAAGGAATTAACACCTGTGTATTATGTAAGTTACTAAGAGTAGTACTTGGAACATAGTAAACACTGCATTTGTGTTTTGCTATGGTTGTTCTGCCCCCTGCAAAATTCCCCTCTCAGGGTTAGAGTTCCATTGGAGTAGGGAGCTGAAATCCACTCCTGCCCATCTCATTTAAGGTGTTAGGACTGGGCAGAGGAGGGACCCAGAACACTGGGAGGGAAGCAGGCTTTGGCATCCTCGCCTTGCTCTCCAGCTCCCTCCCTGCACCATCTGAATGGCCAGCTGGAGGCGGGCTGCAATGTAATGGGGAGGAAGCCATCCCTTCCCAAGACTGATCCGATGCCAAGAGTGATGCAAAAGTCTGAATCAGGTGCTGTGTGTTGGTGTGCGGTGCCCCTTGTTAAACAAACAGCTCCTGCATTCCCAGCAGGAGGCTAGGTCACTCGCCATCCCCCAATCTCTACCGCACAGAGAGGGCTGAGGCTGACTTGGATGCTTTTCCAGGGAGAAGGGAAGAGGACCTGAGAAGGAGGCTTGCTGCGGGGGTGAGCCTGAGCGATCTGCACAGCACGGAGCAGACAGCAAGCAGCAGACAGCCCTGGACCAGAGGAGCAGGGAAGAGGGACCCCCTACTTCCTGGGAGCGTTCTGTGTTACTTAGGTTCTAAGTAGTTCAAATGGGAAACCCTCATACCCACCCCAAGAGAAAATATCCTACTTTATTTATTTATTTACTTATTTATTTATTTTTTGCATTTTTCTTCAGATAGAGCAGGAGGGAGAGAGGAAGGAAGAGAGACAGAGAAACATCAACATGAGAGAGACACATCGAGTGGCTGCCATCCACATGACCCCCAACCAGGGCCACGGACAAACTGCAACCAAGGCATGTGCCCTTAGCAGGAACCAAACCCGGGACTCTCT